GCTGTTTGCTGGGGCTGTAGGCTCGCTGTAGGCTCGAACACGACCACAAGTGTTGGCCACCAACTAGGCCGTCACACGCGATGTGAAGACGGATCTAGGGTTCAGTGGGTTCCCGCAACATTGGTAGGTAGATCTCCACAGGTGGCTTGGATGCTTCAGCATATCGCAGGCGAAATTTGGAGACTTGCTTAAATTGGAAATCCATCAAAAGCCCATAGACGGGTCTTCAAGCAAGAACTTTCATGTTCGGTCCCGGGTTTCCTTTATAAAAGTGATTTGGGTCAACTGGTCGTAACTTCTTTGAAATGATAACGTATTCCGAAAGAAAAATGCATCCGTCGGCCAGTAATGGTGCGTCCAATCAGCTGAAATGAGGTTCCTTTTCGTCCGTTAGACAGGTACGCCGCCATTGATTGTGGTGATAACTGATGGCACTATTCATTGCTCTATTCATTATTCTCTCATTTTAATATTCTATATGATGTACATATACGCCAGTTCGAATGCATACGTTCTACTTTTTGCGCCGATCTGAATTCTGGATTTCTAGTTCGTCTGGTTATACCGATATACGTACGAAACTTAATTCTCACACTCTGGTTACAAGGCAAGTGTTGCGACTACGGTAACTTCTGTTTCTGGTCTGCCTGAATCGGTGATACGCGACGTTGTGCTGGTACAACCGAGGCCGACGATTCGCTGGCATTTTAAGTTGTATCGCGATCAACGTGTAGCCCATAACTGGAAGCGGCTGACGGCGTACACCAGAATCCCCTTCTTTGAGCCAGACACAGTAGGCAGATGCTTGTGTTGGGTGGGGTGAGGTGAAATTGCATTAAGTGTTTTGACGTCAAATAAGATCGCCAAAGCTTCCTTTTCTATCTGACCGTAGTTGCGCTGGGCTGATGTCAGAGTTCCGGCCGCATGCGCAATGACTTTCTGGTTGCTGTCATTAAATCAGCGTGAAAACATTGCGTCAATACCTTGGTTGGGAGCATCCGACACCACAACGAGTTCCACTGATGGATCGTAGTGGATGAGAAGCAAAGCGAATCTCAGCACGGATCTGACAGAGTCAGATGAGCGTCCATCTCCGTTTCACGTCCTTGCTGAGTAGCTTGTTCACTGAACCTGGAAGGCAGAAGTGAGTTGTAGGGATTGTCGAAAGCTAGGAAGTACCTGATGTGTCACATCTGGGTCCTGGCACACGTTTGACGGCGTCGATGTTCTCCGGGTTCGGTTAGTAGCCATGTTCACCATTAAAGAACCCGAGGTATTTTATGGACCGCATAAAGAAGGGGCATATTCCCCGGCGCACTTCGAAGACATAACACTGAATACGACCAAGGACATAACTGAGCCACTACCACAGTTCGTTGGGGTTGTAATCTATGATGATGAAATCGTCCACTTACGCAGAAACGCTGAGCGCATCAGTTAGCATCGTATAAACGATCTGTTGAAATATGGCTAATGCAGTTTAAATACCGAATGGCAATCGGATATAATGGAAGAGATCGCGGCGCGTATTGATTTTTAACGTTCTCGCGATTATTCCCCAACGTCGACCTGCGGGTGATCATCAACCAAATCAATCAAAATCAAAGTATTTACCTTCATTCAGTTTAGCTAACACGTCGTCTGGATGTGAAAGTGGGTGCTGATGGTTGTCCAGTACAGCACTAGACAGGAGGAGAATTATGTGCAAAAACAAATGGTCCCGTGAGCCTTCTTCACCAATACGATCGGTGCGGTCCATGCAGAATAGTCAGTCGGCTGGGGGCCACCAACATTCATCAGTCTGTTACTGATCAACGATTGGTAATGCTGTATACAATACTGGGCGTTTGGACATGAAAATTAGTTTGGCATTGAGAATGGAACAAAATGTGACTGTCGATTATGCGTAGCGTTCGAGCTCGTCTGTGAATATAAATGCATAGTGTTGTAGGAGGTCCTCAACTGAACTCTTCGGAGATTGTATTTGCTTGAGGACACCCCCGTATACGGCTTGCGTGAGGTTGCAAATAAAATTAACTGGTTTTTCCAGCAGGCTTAGCTTGTCCACCGAATCCAGCCCCATGAGATCAAGATTGGGGCATGGCCTCAAGTAGCACGTGGCTTTTGCCGCCGAGCCACTGAAGCTGAGAGAGCAGCCAACCTCGCCAGCTAATTTCAGCTTACCACCAGAAGCATCAGGTTCCCAGTGATAAGTCTATTGTACATGCGGCTTACCAATCCGTTTCCACGTTCGTTCACTGTCAAGCTGAAAACAAGTTGGGATATCGCTGATATGAACCGTCACAACCTTCTTTCGGCATGCAAAATCAAATTCTAATGTCGCCATCACCGATTTCGATCGCGATTTGTGAGCTACACAGTGGTGTTCTGAGGGCTGCGGTATCTGGTATCGACATATATCTTGTTTATGGCCACGATGGTAGCACCTGAAAAATTCAGGATCGCAAAAACTACAATAACGAGTGAAATAAAACTCATCTTATTGTCAGCATTTTGTGGGAGGCTTGTTGTGTTTTTGACCGGGCTTGTTTTCGGACTTCTGTCGTTCGTCGATTGCGTGGACACAGCTGCTTGGAGCAGCAGGTGACTGAGCGATTATAGCCATGTTGTGCCTCAGGTTGAGTGGTTGGCGTTCGCGTGTGATGATCTTCAACGACATTTTGGCGTCTTGTTCAGTTCTGTGAAGCCGTCGGTTTGAGAGGTCTTTATCTTGAGACGACTGGAGACCAGTATTTCTTGATACCTGGGTAGGCTACTGTCTACTTAGTGTCTCATGTTTTTTTACCCTTTCCATTCACCTGTGCTTAATCCATATTGCGTTTTGATATTTTTTGTCACGTCCCTGGGTTTCTAATCGCAGAGCGCCAAGCATTTAATGGAACTGTTCTGCGAAGTATTGCGAGATTCACCTTTTCAAGTTTGAATCAGCTACTCAATTCTTCCCAATCAAGCAACTCAAAGTGTTCTAGCTTACATAATGTTAACTTGAATAACAGGTTCACAATTTTCTTCGGCGTCTATAAAAACATAATGTGTCCTCATGCACCTTATTCACTGTATTCAAGTACCAGTGGTGTATATTGTCACCTTCAGTACATACCCGTCTCATTTCAGGTGAACCCGAAAAACATTTACAAAAGAAGCGTAAAATCATTGGTCAGTGGGACACTGGAAACAGTCAGATAAATTTTTTGTTGAAACATTTCCGAACCAGCTTCTTACCGCTCTAGAGCGACATGGAGCCAACAGTAAGAAAGCGAAACCACGTGAATTTGGAGTTCATATCACGTGGACCATTGTCATCGATCTACATTCAAGCAATTTAATACAGAGGAGCAGTGACTAATGCGTAACTGAGAGAAAAATGGTAATATAAAACCTGATGATGGTTTACAGCGCAACAAAAAATTAAGGCACAATATTTACTGCAAAGGAAAATTGAGTCGAGGAACGGTGATAATTAAAGACGGCGATCATGTACAAAATTCGTGGGCCGGAGAACTTGTCCAATGCTTTTGCTTAAAAACGATAACA